AAATACTATTTATCTTAATAAAACATGATTTTTATTTTTAATATATTTAAATTTTAAATTATCATTATTATTATAAAATTTTAATTTTAACACTAAATATATATTTTATTTTTATATAAGCATGCAATCAATTTCTAAATAAAAAAATAATTGTATAAATTCCAGCTTTATTTACAAGTATCTTTGAATTGTACTAATCTTATTATTCTTATTAAAAAATTACATAAATATTAAAATAATTAATAACAAAACTAAAAGTGAACAAAAGTAAATAAAAGAAAATAGTTAACTTAATTAAAATTTAAATAAGTACATTTTAAAAAATGTAAAAACTTTAATTATATTTTAAATAAATTAATAATTCTAATAAATAATTTGAGTAGAAATAATCTAACTAAAAAATACTTATAATTAATTTTTAACAAAATATAAAAATATAATTTTAAAATAGAAACTTTTAATTCAATTGTATATTTTGTGAAATCAAAATTATAAGAAACTGATATAATTTCAAATAAACTCTCTTTAACTATTTTCTTGATTTTATAATAATTTCAAAAAATAATTAGAACAAAATAATATATTATACTCATTATATTAGTTATTAAATAAAAAAATTATTAATTATACTATATTTTAGAATTCAATTTTAAACCAATAGCTGTTGATAATATATATTTCTATGTAAATTTGTTGTTTAAATCCATTTGAAATTAAATAAACAATATAAATCAACATGTAAATGCTTTTAATTTTTTTTTTAAATCATTACTATCATAATTTTGGGATTAAATAAATATCATTATAAAAGGAGAAATAAATAAATCATAAATATATATTTATTGATATGTTTAAAATTTATTAAAATTTTATTTTATTTTTACTCTAATAATTATAAAATATGCAATTGCAGAATACGTGTAAAAACTATAAGCAATTTATTCATATAATTATTTATTTATTTTTAAATGCAAATAATTAGATTATTTTGTTGTATTTATATTTATAAAAATATGAATTAAAAATTTTTAAGCTATATAATCTATATGCAAATGGCAAATGACTAAAATTTATAAAAAGAAATAGAAATTGAGAAAAAGATATATTTTTTTAAAAATAAAATATTTTTAATTGAATATTAAAAATATAATTTTATAAAAATATTAAAAGTTAATTAATTTAAATATTAATAAAAAATATAAAAAAAAAAAATATGGAACAAGAAAAGCAAATTCCTATATATAGAATAGCAGTTTTGGGTTTATAAGAATCAGGAAAAACTTAAATAATTAATTAATTTGTAAATAATTGTTTCTCTACTATCTATGATCCGACTATAAATGATATAAGGCCTTATAGAAAGTTAATTAATTTAAGTTCTTCAGAAGATTGTCCATAATATTGTTACTTAATAATAGAAGATATGTAATTTATCTATATAAAAATATATATAAATATATATATATATATATATATATATTTTTATTTATAAAAAAAATTAATAATATAGTTTTCCAATAGATTATTATAAAATATATTAAATTACAGATTAAAATAAAGAAAATGAATGGAAAAAAATATACACAAGCATAATAGATAATTATGAATAAAAAACAAAAGAAATAAATTTACATAAAATTTATGTTTAAAAATAAATTTATGGATATATTTTTGTATTTGATGTAAATATTCGAACAATAGCAAGTTAATTAAGATAAGTAATTTATATATAAATATATATATATATATATATATATATATATATATATATAAATTTTTAAATATACATATTTATATATAATTCAATTTTTTTAAAGTTAGAAGAATTAATTAAATATATAAATGATTAAGAATCTAAAGGTATAAATGGAGATTTTTAGACAAAGAAAGTTTTAGTTTGTAATAAAATAGGTATGTCTTTTTTTAATTTAAAATAATAAATAATTAAGATCTTATAAACATTGATTAATTAAATGAAATAAATAGCCTTTAAATTGTTAAAAATAATAAGAATATGGCTTTTATGAAAACTTCAGCTAAAAATAATGAAAATATTAATAACTTATTTTTAGATATATGTAAAAAAATTAAAGATGATTAAAAAATAAATGTAGTAGAAGAAGATTGGACTAAGTAATTAGAAGAAGAAAACAAAAATAATGATGAAAAAGGAAAAGATAGCAAAGCTTCTAAAAAATAATTTGGATAAATAGTAGATTCTGATGAAGTATTTAAAATATTAAATATTAAATAATGTTATAATATTATTTATTTTAAAGGAAGATAATAAAGATTAAGTTTAAGTAGTAGATGAATATGTAAATGAATTACCTGAATATAAAGGACAAAGTAATGAAACAAATGAATGTAATATTTATTGATTTATAAACAGATAAAATAAAAATATGTAATATTAAATTTTATATATATTTATAAATATTTAATTTAAATTTTTTTGATTTAATAGACAAATTATATATATATTAAATAAATAAAGCGAAAAAAAATAATTATATATTATTATTTTTATATATTAACATAATATATATAATATATTATATTTTTTTGGAAAAAAAATTATATATATAGAATAAGTGTTAAGAGGATAATATATCTATTTAAAAATTAACTTTGAATATCAATAAGTTTAATCTTTGAAATTTAAATCTATTGTTTAAAATATTAATTAGAAAAACATATACTTTTTATTTTTTTACTATTCATTTCAGAACATATTTCTTTAAAAATATCATCTTCATTTTTAATATCATAAAGTGTTTATAATAATGTTTTTTTTAATTATCATTTAAAAAATTAAGTTAGTATATTTATTCATTATTAAAATTTTTAATATTATTATCATTATATCCATTTTAATATAAAATATTTAAAATTTCTAAATTTTATTTTTATAAAAATAAGTTATTCTAAACAAGTTAATAGTTTTATTAAAAAGAATTATCTAAAAGTTATTATTAATTATAGTTAAAATTAACAAAATTTTATTATAATTATATACAATTATTATTTAAATTAAAATTATTAAAATAAAAATTGAGATTATTTTTTTGTGAAAATTACTATTATTCCCTGATATATTTTTAACTATTTAGTTTATTTTGAAAAGAAGGATTGAAATTACTAACATTCAGATAATTATTAAGAGCTTTTATTAAAAAAAATTATAAAAAAAATAAAAATATTACATTAATCTTATTATATATAATTAGTCAACTATAAATTTTAAGGATTTAAATCGAATTAATTTTATTAATCATAAAGTAAAATATATTATTACTATTACTATTACTATTACTATTACTATTACAATTACTATTACTATTACTATTACTATTACTATTACTATTACTATTACTATTACTATTACTATTACTATTACTATTACTATTACTATTACTATTACTATTACTATTACTATTACTATTACTATTACTATTACTATTACTATTACTATTACTATTACTATTACTATTACTATTACTATTACTATTACTATTACTATTACTATTACTATTACTATTACTATTACTATTACTATTACTATTACTATTACTATTACTATTACTATTACTATTACTATTACTATTACTATTACTATTACTATTACTATTACTATTACTATTACTATTACTATTACTATTACTATTACTATTACTATTACTATTACTATTACTATTACTATTACTATTACTATTACTATTACTATTACTATTATTATTATTATTATTATTATTATTATTATTATTATTATTATATTTATTTCATATATTAATATTTTATTTAATAGATTGTCTTTTAATTTTCTATATATTATTCATTTTCATCATTTTATTTATAATTTTATATATATTATACATTTTTTAATTGTTCATTTTATGTTACTTCTATGTATTTAGGTTTTTTATCATATTTTATATTATTTATTATTTAAATTTCTTAATTTATTAAAGGATTTTTTTTTACTTTTAAATTCATCATTTTTATTTCTGTTTCATTAAAAAAAACATCAATAGGAGCACCTAGTTATTATTCGATGCTATATCTTTTTTTTTTATAAATTTATAATTTAAATTTTTTACTTTTTTAAATTATTCTATATCATTATAGTTATATTAAGTTCTTTCATTAAATTTTAAGCATTTATTATTCTTAATTAATTATTTAAAAACAAAAAAAAATTAAAATTTTATTAATACCTTTTATCTTTTACTGAATGATATAAATGACATTCTTTATTTTCTTTTTATACACAGCAACTAGAGATTTAACATTATTTAGTTTTATAAATTTAAGGATGATAATCATATTCCTTCCATCCATGGCAAAATCTGCAGTTTTATTAATTTTCGCACTATCCATCTATATACTAAGTAATATTTTCTTTAATCCAAGTTTTACATTATTCCGGTTCTAAATTTATTTTTTTAGGATCTCTTCTAAAATCTTATACATTATGCATATAAGGACAAGAACATCTTTCATGCCTTTTATTAAATAAAAAATATAAAAATATAATAAATAAAGAAAATAAAACAAAAAATTTAAAAATAATAAAAATAAATTTAACTATATAAAGAAAATAAAATACGATATAGTATTTGGACACCAAATAGTTTTATAAAAAAACATATAGAAAATATCATTTTTTTCCATATTTTCAAGTAAATGGATCACGATATCATCTTCTGAATGTGCAAATGAGCAAAAAGGACCATATCCACATTTTTAATTATTATTATAGTAACTTTTACAGAACTTAGTCTTATATCTGAGAGGATGATATAATTATTCAACTTTATTATGTGATTAAGGACAGTTATTTTTATACTAACATTTGTCTTTTTTTACACATTAATTGAAAGAATATTAATATTATTAAGGGCATCTTCTTTTATCACCTTCTGTGTGATAAAAAGGACATTTTTTTTATCGTGAGCCTCTTTTTTTGAACAGGCGTATATTTTAAAGTCAGAAATAAAAACTGTTTGGGGAGAATTCAAGTTGTTACATTATTCTCCAGGCTAGCAATTTTATTAATTGTAATAAACTTGAGAATTTTAATTCATATCTTGTAGGTATTTTTGCAGTATATGCATTTGTTGTTAGTAAAAATAAGTTTGAAAATTATTCTAAGGATTTTGTTTAGAAGGTATTTAGATAGGTTTTTAGAGTTTTATATCATATTCATCTTAATTTTAGTAGTTTTAATCAAATTGTTAATAGGAGGGAAAAAATTAAGATTTATGTAATAGAGATGCATAGTGTTGTTAAAATAATTAATTATTTAATTGCTGTTATTTATATTATTAAAGTTGTTGTTTTACTGTATTTATATTATTCATGATTTGTATTATTTTTATATATATTATTAGAAGTTATGAAAAATAAAAGCTTTCTAGATTTCTTATTGTTTCCTTTAAATTTTTATGAAAATATAACTTTTTTATATAAATATTTATCTTTTTTATTTAAATTTCCTTCTAGAGTTTAATGAATTTTTAGGACTTTTTTTTTTTTTTTTGAATATTATTTTTTCTAATTAATTAATATATAATCAAAGAAATATTTTTATTTTTAATGAAATTATATTTAATAATTTTATTTATATTTTATTATATTTTATTCATAAAAAAATTAATTACTTTTGGTTTTTTTTTTTTTTTTTTCCTTATATATTTGTTGAGTACATTTTGGAATTTTAAATTTTGAATTTTGTAGTTACATTTATTTATATTTGATAATAGATAATTTATTCTTTATTTAAACAAAAAAAAAAAGAAAAAAAGAAAAATAATATAAATAAAATTTATAATTTAAATTTCTGTTAAAAAAAAAAAAACTTGCTTGATTTAAAACAAAAATCTTATAAAATATGCGTTAAGATCATAATAATGTAAACAAAATATTCTTTAAAAAAATAAAATAAATAATAATATGAAATTTATTTATCTTAATTTTATTAAAAATCAATTGTTATATAAATATCAAACACTGTCTATAAAAATTTATGAATTTTTATTAATATAATTTATTATCGGTGTATATAAAATAAATAAATATTTTTTCATATAATAGTTTTATAAGCATTTAATAATTTAACTTAAATTATTTACTTCAAGAATATAAAAAATATTAAGATTAAATTTTATTATTATAAATTAAAATTAATTATAAAATACTCTAAAAAAATAATAAAGGAAAACATAAAAAACAAATATAAATAAATATATATAAAAATTATAAAATAAAATATTAAAATATAAATATAAAAATACAAATGTAAATATGTATATATATATATATATATATATATATATTTAAATTTTTATATTTTTAAATATTTGTATATTTAAATATGATATATTTAAAATTTCTTTTTTTTTTTAATAATTATTTCTAATTTGTATAATAATATTTTTTTAACAGAATTTAGAATATTTTTTATATAAATTAAATACATAGAAAATAATTAAACTGTACAATAATTCGATGTTTGCAATTAAATATTGTACAAAAATAAAAATTTTAATCATATTTATTTTATAAAATATTTAACTTTTTTAGATTTGATTATTTGTAATAATAATCAAATAATAAATTTTATAAATTTATAAAAAACATATAATTATTACTTTATATACAATTCCTTAAATTAACTTGACTTTAAACTTTATTTATTTATTTTATAAATTAAAAATAATATAATATAATTGTTTAATTAATAGCTTAAACAAATTAATTAATATATAAAATTTCTTTGTAAATTTACTAATTTCAGACTTTAAAATTTGAATTTATTTTTCTATACTAAAATCGTCTAAACAATTTTTTTTAAAAAATTAAATATATAAATAAATTTTTATATTAATTTTTTTTTATAAATTATAATAATTTTCAAAAATTATCGTTAAAATATTTTTACATATAACTTTAATATTATTAGAGTTTAAATTCAATTATTTTATTTTTCATTTGAATTATTTTATTTTTCATTTTATTAATTTATTAATTAACTTTATTTTTATTTTAAAAAACTAAATTCTTATTAAAATTATAAAATATGATTTTTCAAATTTTTTATTTATTCTTCAGTAATAGAATATTTGTTATTTATATTTTTATAATACATCTAAAGTTTTATATGAATATGTTATTTAATCATCTTTGTAACAAAAAAAAAAAGCATACGGATTTTTAGTGGCTAATAATTATAAAGAATAAACTATTTTAAGAAAAGGATAAAATTAATTAAAAATATTTTTTAGACAGAAATAATTAGTTTGCTATGAAAATCTGTTTTTGGACTAATGGATATTATTATAAAATGAAATAGTTGCAGGAAATGACTTTTTCAAATAGGATAAAATTCCAGTTTTGTAAAATAATTGAAGTAGTTGTTGATTGAAAACGAAAAAATTACTTCAAAATTATATTCTGGGATACATATTATTCTACAACTAAAAATGCATCTAAAAAACTTAAATTTAAATATTTTTAAGTAATTAAATATAATAAAACCTTCAATAGAATATTCATAAAAAATAAAAATAAAATTAAAACTATAATTATAATTATATAAATAAATAATAGTATGAATATTTTTTTATTTTAATTGTTGATGAATCCTTATTTGGCTAAATTGATTGATTTATTCTTTAAGTTGTTAAATTTAATTATTTTTATCCTAAATTTATTTTTAGAATTTTAGAAAATATTTTTTTTTTTCCTATTTAATTTCCTTAACTAAATTTTTAAAGAACTATTTTTTTAATTAATAATATCTTTTTTTTTGACTTTCAACTTTATTTATTTATTAAGTTTAAAATTAAAATTAAAATTAAAGTTAAATATAATTTTTAATTTGGAAAAAAGTTAATAATTCATTTTTTTTCTTGTATTTTTTTCAATATGTACTTATTCTTAATTTCAATGTTTTTTTTTTAATTAATCTATAGTCATATTTATTTATTTTTAACTCTTGCTTTAAATAAAAAGATTTTCTTATTAATTTATAAATTTTTCTTTAAATATTCATTTTAGAATTAAATTATGTTTTCTTTTTGACTTGATAATCCTTCTTTTATATTTATAATTATAAAATATAATAATAATATTTTTTATTCAAATAATAAATATTTAGTGCTTTGTCTATAATTCATTATATAGTTTATTATTTTTAAGCTTTATTTTATTTATTATGATATAGAAATCGAAGTCAAGAATTAAAATTTTACATTTTATATTATAATTTTTAAGTTTGTTATTTACTTATATATATATATATAAAAGATATTTAAATTCAAATAGTTATTAATAATAATTTATTTTAATTCGAGTTTTTTTATTTAGAATTTAATAAAAAAAAAATATAAATAATTAAATAAAAAAAATAAAGAAATAACATAAAATAAATATTATTTCTAAAATACTAATATAAAATAAATAGTATGCATATTAAAAATAAATAAAATAATATTTTAAAATAAATAAACTAAAAATTTACAATTTCCAAAATTATATAAATAAAAATATCATTTTTTTTCTGAATTAATTTCCTAATTTTCTATTAAATGCACACAAATCTTAGGTTTTCCAAAAGCGTGCATATATTCATATCCCATATGCCAATCATATCCAAGTGCATATGCCATAAATTATCCATTTTAATTAATTTAGCAAGCTGAAACAGGTTATTTATTATACAAAAAACCTTTTATTTTTTATTTAGTATGGCAATCCCAAAAATAAGTATTTCCATCAGACCCACTTGTAGTTAAAAAGTTTTCATTTCGAACATTAAAGCATACTTAGTTTACAGGATATAATACTTAGTTTATATTATTTCCTTATTTATCTTCTGTTTTATGGCATTTAAATGTCATAATACTTTCTACTTTTATACCTCCTCCAGTTCTTATTATTTTTCCTAAATGAACTCTTCCATCAATTGAACCTAAAGCATATTTAATATTATTAGGCTGTATTTTTATACAATTTAATTATGATCCAATTCCCAAAGGAGATTAAATATAAACTATTGAATTTTGAATGTTCTAATACTGATTTTATAAATTTAAAAAAGCTAAATCTTCACCATATAAACCTAATGCAAGGATAGGAAATTATAAAGAAGATACATAAATTTTAGCTTTAACTTAAATTTTATACACTTATTAATTAGGTTCTTACCAAAAAGCTACTGTAGAATCCAAAGAACATGTTATGATTTAATTATTTAAATTTGTTTCTTAATAAACACTTACAATTCCTTATTAATGCATTCCTTTTTTATTTGTATTATATTATATATATTTTTTTTTTTAAAAAATTACCTATTTATGTTTACTATCCATTTTATAAATTAAATGCTCGGACAGAAAAATCTCCACAAGCAGCATATATTACTGTGCTATCATTTTTCCAATAAATAAATGTTATTGGGTTATTATATTATAAACACATTATTTATGTAAAAAAACCGCGATTATTCTACATTTTTACTTAATATATATGGATCTTGCCATCCCATGTTGAGCAAGCGAAAATTTAAGGGTCTGAAGGAGAAAATTATATACAATTTACTGTATCTTATGGATAATTTTGTGGATTATCTATTTATATGTCATGTAAAGAAGAATCTTGGTTTTAATTTTATATATTTTACATTTTTTTTGTTAAGTTTTTTTTTTAGTTTTTTTTTTTTCTTAAAAGATAAATAATTAGAAATTAAATAAGTATATATTTATTTTTTTAAAAACTTAATATGTATATAATTTATTTATATGCTATTATTTGCAATAATATATTTATATTTTTAATAAATATATTCATTTTATTTAATTATTTTTTTGCTCTTTTTCATAATTTAACTACTGTATAAAAAAGAATTAACATTAACCCTAGAAAGAATGCAAGTAATCCTCCACTAATAAATTTAGCTTTCATTTCATAATCAGTTTATTAAAAAGGTTTAGGGATACAAATACCAGCTAATAATCCGGTAATGAATCCTCCCAAATGTCCAAAATTATCAACACCACTTTTAGTAGAAAACCCGGAAGATAATAGGAAAACCCAAATAATAATAATAGTAGTAATACAAACGAACATACATCTAAGTTAGCCTGTAAACTCAAGTGATTTCCAATTCAAAACCATATAAGAAACAAATAAGGCAAGCATTCCCATTAAAGAAGTAGATGCTCCTGCAGAAATAATAACTAATTTTTATTATATATTTTTAAAAAATAATTTATTTTTAGAATATTACTCACACTAGAGAACATATCAGTAAATAAATTTCCTCCTATACCGCTTAATATGTATATAATAATTACATATAATGTGCCATATGTATATTCCATAACAGAGACTAAAATAAAAGCAGAAACAGAATTAAAAAGGATATGAATGAAGTTTAAATGTAAAAACATTGCGGTAAAAAGTCTCCATAATTAATATTTTTATTGGATTTTTTAAGCATTATTTGCACCAAATTCATCAAGGACCTTTTAATATTTTGTTATTTTTATTAAAATATTATTTATTTTTGTTTTACATCTATCCTTATTTCTAATAATTATCCTTATTTATTTATACCTTAAGTACACATTGATACAAATATTAAAACATTTAATAAAATTATAAAAATTGTAAATGAAAATAATTTAAGTGAAGGACATAAATTTAACTTAAGCATTTAAGGAAATGTTTCTTTTCTAGGATCTCCTTGATATCTATTTCCGGAAGCTTTTTTAAAAAAAAAATAAAAAAAAAATTATAAATAAATATGCACTTATAAAGGGAACTCTCATTTATTATAAACGCCCCATGTTTAATTAAGATTCCTAATTTCCCATTTAGTAATAATTTCCTCCTTAACCATTATTTTAATAATCACCTATTCTATGTACATTAGCCATTTTTTATAATTTTATATATATATATATATATTTAAAAACTAATTATTAATTAAATGTATTATAAAAGAAAAATATATTATTATATAATTTTTTATTTTAATTTTTTCTTTTTCTTAAATTATATATTATAATAATAAAAATCAATATGTAAAATATATATGTTTTTTTATGCTTATAATTTTTCATTATCTATCTGTTCTTAATGTTATTGGTTAACTTATAGTATTTTAACTATTATTTTAAAAAAAGTCATTTTAAAAATATTTTTGAAAATCAATTCCAGGTTAAAAATTAGAAAAAGTGCTACTATTACTTTCTATAAAAAAAATAAAAAATAAAAATTTAAAATTAAATAAAAAAACATTGTATTGATTCTTAAAATCCATTTTTTTTATTTGATTCTGAATATGTATCGATATAATTTTATCTATTAATAAAAGTTTCATATTACTAAGATTATAATTAAAATTATTATTGATATTAAAATCCTGTATTATCAGCCAATTATCTTTATCCACAAGCCATTTTTTAAATTCTTTATGAAGAGTTGTTTTCAGGAGAAATAGTATTAAAATGTTTTTTTTTCTAACTATCCATTTTAAAAGGCGAAAATTCGCTCATTATAGACCTGCTAGTAGAATTCAAAGGATTAAGATGTGACTAAAATTAATTTTAACAATAAAAATTATCATAAATATTATAATTATTTTTATCTTAATTTGTTATTGAATGTGCTAATTATGAAGCATATTATTATTATATAGGTTTAAAATTTTAAAAGGAATCGCTATTATTATATATATTTTGGTTATCATTTTTGGAATAATTATTATATTTTTATTATGATGAATTATTTGAAAAATAATTGTTTTTTTCACCTGTATAATTAATTTATCTAGGGCGATCTTCAAATTAAGCCGAATCTTCATTTATATAAATTTAATTTGTTTTTTTTTTTAACATTTTTGCTTCTATTAATTAATCTTTAATTTTACTTTGGACATTTTTGAGATTCTATTATTCTTCAAATGTCGACTTTTTATCAAAAATATCACCTCTTTATAATTTTCGAGGGTCATAGTATTTCTTTTTTTGGTTTAGGGGAGTTTTTTATGTTCTTTTGGAACTTTCTTAAGTGATTATTTTTATATTTTCATTATTAAAATTGGGTTATCTATGTTTTTTTTCTGGATTATTTCTCTTTGAATTTAACTCTGTAGAGTTAAATTTAGGCGATATTTGTCCACTTAATACTTATTAACTATTGCTTTTGTTAAATGCTTATTAATTATGTTTTTTTAATTTATTTTATTTTAGTTGTTAAGATTATTATTCTTATTATTGATGATATTACTCGTCTTATTCTTATTCTTAGATTAAGTTTTAGTATATTTTCTATTATTAATTTGGACATTAGTAACTACTTTATTGATAATAAGAACTATTATTATTGATATTTTAATAAGAATTGTTTGCTTATTAGTATTAATTTGTATATGTTTAAATGTGTTATTAATTTTATTATATTTATTATGAGTTTTAATTTGACAGAATGCTTTAAGGATTTTGTTAAATTTGGTGAATAGCTTTTTATTAGAATTATTGATTTGTTGTTTGAATATTTTAATAATTTTTATTATTCTCATTTGTGTCTTATTTCATTAAGTTTTTTCTATTTTATTTTTTAATTTTTATTTTACTTTTCTTTTTTTTTACACTTATTGTCCGTCCAAATGATGAATTTTAGGTTTGAATTTAATTGGTTAATGTACATTATTTGGAGGCTGTTGTTATGTTATTTTTAACGTTAATTAATTTCTTCTATTGTTTTCGAGATTATTTAATGAACAACTTCTTATTGTTCTACTTGCTTTAGTTTTATTTTAATTTAATATAATTTAATTTTTTTACATTTAGGTTATTATAAATATTTTAAAGGCTATTATTGTAAATCTTTTGGAGATAATTAAATATTCTTTTCAAGTTTTTCATTTAATTTATTTATTTATTTTTTTAAACTAAATATTTAATCTTTTAATTATTATTAATCATCATTTAAATAATATGTTTCTATTTTATCTTTTTTTTATTATTATTATTAATTATTTTTATTTTATTAATTTATTTTTACTTGATTGTGTTTTTATGTCTTGTAATATATTTGATGATGTCTTATATTTATTTTAAACATAATCAGCTCCTATTATTAGAACTTATTAAATTAGTTAATCAGATATATTTTCTTAATTTAAAACATATGTAAAGAAATTATATAAATATTTATTTAAAATTATTTATTGCATTTTTATTTAAATATTTTTTTTTTTTTAAATATATTAAATAATGTTTTTTTTTTTTTAAATATATATATATATATATATATATATATATATATATATATATATATATATATATACATATAAATATATATATATATTAATTTTATTTCTTTTGGAAATTAAATTTATAATTTTTTATTATAGTATTTATCAAATTAATAAATAATAAAATATATTAAGAAATATATAATTTGATAAAATTTAGTAAATTTATATTTATCAATAATTTTAAATAAAATTATTATTAAAATAAGTAATATATATAAATATTTTTATATTAATACTAAAAATATAAATTATAAAATCAAAATAATTTTATTTATTATTCATTTATAAATTAATTATTATTTTAATTTTTCTTTATATTTTTTATTTTATTTAATAATTGATCAATATTATATGTTTCTTATTTATATCTTTATTTATTAGATCCCAATGTTTAATTTGATTATGAACTGTTATTTAATCTTACAGAATTTAAAACTAAATTAAATTTGTATTTTTAATTACTATTATTAAGTTTAGAAAAATTATTATTATTATTTATTTAATTGTTTTTTTTAATTAAGTATTTTTTTCTTATTATTTATTTTTCAAATTACGAAGCTCTTAAAAATATTAAAAAAAAATTAATAAATAAAATTGTAATAACTAAAATATATAATCATATTAAAAAAATAAAACCTAATGAAGTAAACAGTGCTTTAGAATTAATTTCAAAAGCAAAAAGTTATTTTTTACAATTTTATTTTTTTTACTAAAATTAAAGTTGATCAAATAAATATTATTTTTTTTATGGAGAAGTACTTTCTCTATTATTTTATACACTTTTTTTTATAGGAGAAATAAATTTTTAGTCTTCTAAAAACAGAGATTTTATCGAATATTTATTGCCCTTTTCTTTTTGTGAATATTTATTATAATATCTAACAAATTCTTTAAAGTTTTTCTGTTTACGAAGTTATTTAATAAGTCCAGCATATTTACTTGCTTCCCTAAAGTGTTGTTGTTTGTTACATTCATTGATATCGATTTATTTATTTTATTAAAGTATATCAAGCAATTATTAGCATTCATATTCATCTCTAAAAGGCAAATATTTGCCAACCCTGAATTATTTTGGTTAAATTTATTGCTCTTTATCTTCCAAAACATCATCAAAAACTTCCTTAAACTCCTCAAAAGTGACGTTTTTTTTCTCAGAACTAAATTTTTTGAATATTTCGGACAAATAGTTTTCATCGTCTATGTCAAAATTAGTTTTTAATTCATTTATTAAATCAGATTCGATTATATATCCTTTATTAGTCTTGTCCATTTGTTTAAAAGTTGCCTCTACTGTGTTATAATGGTTCATTATTTCACGAATTAATTAAGAAAACATTACTTTTTCTTCTTCTTCTTCTTATTATTATTATTAAGTATTCATTTTTTATTTTATTTTTTTAATTTTTTTATTTATTTTATTTATTAATGGATAATAAATTTATTAGTTTATTTTAATTTTAATTAACATTTATTATTTATGTATATTTCTAAAATATTCTTAATAAATTATATTTAATTTTTTAAAAGACAATTTTATTTTAAATGGAAAAATAATAAAAAAAAGAAAAATAAAGAGAATAAAAAGAAGAACTATAATAAAAAGAAGAACAATATAAAATAAATAAAAGAATATTTGAAAAAGACGAAGATTTAGACAATTAATTAAAAGAATATTTTTTAAAAGAAGAATAAAGAGTTCTAAGAGACCAACTAATCGAAGAAGAAGAACAATATTTATATCATTTAGAAAAAAAATTAAAATAAGCCGAAATATAAATAAAAGAAACATCTGAAATAATATAAAAGCAATAAAAAGAAAATGAAAGGGAACTTTAATAAATAACTGAACTAAATATTAGAATAGAATAAATAATTCAACAAAAAAGAAATTAATAAGATGTTTAAAATACATTTAGTTAAGACAAAAAAGAAGTTCTATTTTAATTAATAGAAGAAAATTAAATATTAAAATAAGAAAAAGATGAGTTTTAATTACTTTATTTATTAAGAAATAAACAAATTTAATTATTGTTGAGAGAAATAAAAAAATTCAAAAAATAAGAAATCGAATAACATAAATAAATAAAAAAAATGGAAAAAATGCTGGAAAAAAATAAAGAAAATTTATAAAAAAAAGAGAAATTAGAAAAAAAAGAAATTTTTTTTTAACATATTTAATAAGGAAAAATTGTTTCTTTGCCAAAAATTGATAATAAAATTTAAAAAGATCCTTTTAATTTTTGGAAATAAAATGACGATTAGGTTATTTAAGAAAAAAGTGATTAGAAAAAACTTTTAGATTTAATTCCTCTTTAATAGCTGTGGGTTTTTGAATAGGAAAAAGGAGAATAGATTATTTGAATTTTTTTTAAAATAAAAGTTATTTAAAATTTTCTAATTAATTATTTTAATTAGAAAATAAATGAAAATAATTAAATATATATATATATATATATATATATATATATTTTATTTTTTGTTTATTTTATTCGAATATAGATTAATTTTAGTTAATTAAATAGTAAAAAATTAAAAAAAAATTATATATATATATATATAATACAAGGGGACTTTATTTTTGTTTATCATTGAATAAAATATTGAATGGCATGC